CACGCCCCATCCCCTCCACACACTTATCTGCAGGGAGCCACTTTCCATGCTGCCCAGCTGCATTCCTGCAAGTCAATTATCAGGCTGGTATTGGCCCATGTGGCTGGTTTATAATTGGCTATCAGTATCAACCAAGAAAAATTTTTTTGGTGCACCCCTACTTAAGAAGGAAAAATCCCATGCACCAGTACAGGCTGAGGGCCCACTGGCTAAGCAGCAACTCTGCGGAAAAGGACCTGGGGGTGACAGTGGACAATAAGACGACTATAAGTCAACAGCGTGCCCTTGGTGCCAAGCAGGCTAACAGCATACTGGGATGCATTAGCAGGAGCACTGCCAACAGATTAAAGGGAAGTAATTATTCTGCACGTGTGAGGCCACATCTGGAGTACTGTGACCAGTTTCCCCCCTCCCCAAACTATACAAAGAATGTGGACAAGTTGGAGAACACCCAGCAGAGAGCAATGAAAAAAAAGTAACTAAACTAGGGGCTGGGGCACATGATTTGAGAGGCTGAGGGAACTGGGCTTATCTAGTTTGGAGAAGAGAAGACTAAGGGAGGATTTGATAGCAACCTTCAGCTACCTGAAGGGTGGTTCCTAAGAGGATAGATCCAGACTGTTCTGTGGTGATGGATGACAGAAAAGGAGCAATGGTCTCAAGTTGCAACAAGGGAAGTTTTTCCTAAACTCTCACTAGGAGGGTAGTGAAGCACTAGAACAAGTTTGCTAGGGAGGTGGTGAAATCTCCACCCTTGGAGGTTTTTTAAGGCCCAGCTTGACAAAGCCTTGGCTGGAGTGATCTAGTTGGGGATCGTCCCACTTTGAGCAGGGGGTTAGGGTTAGACAAGATGACCTCCTGAGGTCCCATCCAACCCTGATTTCCTATGATTCTAAAAAAGGGAAAAAAAATATATACATATTAAAAACAAGAACAAACTTCTGCTGTTACGTTGTCCCCAGGAAACCCTCTTACAGACTAGCAGCCCAAGGACTGAGCAGCTATGCAATCCTTCAGGAGAAATTATAAAAATTCAAAACCAGGGTTTAGTAGAGATCATTTGCATTTGTTATGGGGTACTTTTAAACAAAATCCTCTCAAAAGGAAGTGGCCGTTAGTATGCTGGACTGAGAAAAGAATTAACATCAAATTCTGCAACCAAAATACTTCAGTAAGTATTCCTTATTTTCTAAGACAGTCTAATTCAGTGTTAGACATTTCACCCCAGTAGGCAAGAGACAATAGGAAGTTGATCACAAAAACTGGAAGGAGAAAGTATCTGTGTGCATCTCTCTCAGGTATTTCTTCAGATCTCTAAATACTAGCTTTTTGCTAAATTTGCAATGAGAAATTGAAACTATTCAAGCATTTCACAAGACACAGAAAAGCAGATCATGTAACCAGTAGAAGTTCTAGAGTTTCATTTCTTTCAAATCAGAGTCCTGATGAAAATTGTTCCCACCCCACTACGCCCAACTCTTTATCCTCTTCACATCAGCTGAGTAAGCTGGCACAGCATCAGCTACTGCCTTGGTTTATTATTTTAGGAGAGTTTCTGCCCTTCTTGTTTCTTCCCCATGAGACAAACTTTGCCACAGGTCTTGAAACCAATTAATGCACAGTCTAAAGCCGCAGAGGCTTCATAGTTAAAGCAGAAGACTACTTCAAAAGGCCCAAGACTGAAGCTGTGGAGGTCCTCCTCCATTTGATTTGCTTTTTCTGCTGGAGATCACCATTAACCATGGTTAGTCTCATACAAAGCAGAAATCAAAAGTGAGAGAAGCAAGGGCAAAAACCCTTGAAGAAAAAAAACTGAAGAACTGGGATGATCCAGGATTTATCTTGCCCATAAGTGCAAGAAAAAAAATAAGTAAAACCAGCACTTGTATTCCTGACAAGCAAGAATTCTTCCCTTATGCCAACAATTCCAGCCTAAATATACTACTTCCTCCTAACTATGCTTCTATGCCTCTCCAAGCTCCCCTTGAAAGGAATCCTAAGTCTGGTTCAAACCATCCCCTTTCTAGTATTCAAATCCCTCATGTTCACCACTTCTATGAAGCCTACAGGAAAAAAAGTTATTTTCACCCTCTATTTCAGTCAGTTTTCTCACTATCTGCCCTGTAGATTGAAGTATCAGGAGCTACAGACTAGGATTCAGGTTCACCAATAACAGTCATATGTTTATTATCTGCAACCCACTTAATTCATGGTCAGTTGCTGAGTCGAGGACACATCTATGCAGCTGTTCAAGTGGGGCTTTTAATTTTATGGTTGATGCTTTTTCCACCAAGTTGGACCTCCTCAACTGTCCTATACAGCTGCCTGCTGCAGAACAAACCTACAAGTGATCCAAGTTCTAATGTATTTGCCCAAAGCTGCCCATATCACTGCTACTTAAGCTATCAACATATCAAAAGTTAGTGCAAAATAGAAGGTTAATGAGAGAATGCACTGGGCACTTTCTGGACTTCCACCTGGAGATGAAGGAAGTTCTGTGTTGGTATAATACGCAAGTAGAAGACCTTGTTTTTTTAAACTAATGTCTTTTCCAGAGATACCCATCAAGAACAGTGGATAATGTGAAAAGCTGTATTTCTTTATATTGCCTCCACCTCATATCTCATCTGAGCACTCGGAGGGCATCTATACAACCCCCTGCAAGGCAGAAGTGGTCTCACCTTCATGAGGGGACCAAAGTTGGTCATAATGTTGCACTTAAAAGCCCAGCAAAAACTATTCAACATTAAAGCCCTGTTTTTATGCCAAGACTGTTTTCTTAGCCTATTCACATCCCTTCTGAATAACAAGGAAATTCAAACCCTCTACCCACCCACATCTGGTCAGAATACCACCACCTTTTTAAAACACTATCTTGCTCCACCTTCCATCCAGTAACCTACTTGGCTGCTGTTATCCAAGGTATTTCCACTCAACAACTATGGAAAGTGCACCTGACAGCACAGTAGCCAAAAACAAAATAGGAAGCCGTAAATTATTAACCTACAATGACTCCATAAATATTTGTAGTCTGGAATGGCAGTGAAACCATGAAGTTTCCAGCATCTGTACCCCAAGTTCATTCATTTCAGAGAAGAGCATCAAATTAACTTTCAAAGACCAAAACAGATTTCTATTGTTTCAGAAAATATCCTTAAGTCTTTGAATATTACTCTGATGCAATACCTCATTACCTGGTTTTGCCAGAACGCAATACAAAGATGAGCTTTAGAAGATCTTATTTTTAATAGTGCATTAAATTCCATTGGCAATTTTCATTTGAGCACTGTTTAAGCACTTTTCAAATTTTCTTAAATCGGACTTTCATATTCCCCTCAAAAGAGTCAGCTTGCTTTTCCCCCCCCCACGTTTGCATTGTACGATGCTGTCCAGTCTGTAATCCTCTGTTAACTGTGGCACAGCTTTAGAATCAGCAGAGGGGTATGGGAAGACTTACACTGGTCACTCGACGGTAGATCTGCGCAGCATTTTGGCACTCAGAATAAGGATATTCAGACGTGGCCATCTCTAGCATACACATTCCAAAAGCATATACATCAACGGATTCATCGTATTTCTCCTCATACATCTCGGGAGCCATGAACTCTGGGGTACCTTAAATTAAAAGAACGATTCAGACTCTAAATGTCTCAAAGCGAGTAGAGGCTGCTGGCGTTACTCACCGCAGAAGGCAGTGGATGGGCAGACCTGTGAGAGAAGAGAAAGTGGAGGCAAAAAGAAGAGGGAGGAAACCCTTAGTCAGTCTGTTGCATCAATATGTCCCATGAGTCTCCCATTGCAAGGCCTTTATAAGGAGAAAACAGGGTGATTGGCAGTATGCTTTTGCCGCTTTGTGAAAACTGCTAAATGTAAGGGCCAAAAAACAGAAAAATTCAGTTAAAAGAATTGGCTGAGGAGATAAAGATCAAGTTGAAACAACTGAAGGAAAAAACAAACAACCTTAAGACTAGCCTTAGGCTGCAAACCTAGTACCTCGGGAGAGAGAGTTAGACACTTACCTTTCCTCCCTGTTAGAAAGGAGGCATATTGAAGTGTTTCAACACAACCAACTGCCCTCTGCTGCAAAAAAGTAGTACTGGTAAGAGCCCATAGCTAGTCTCTGACCTATAAAGACTTCATACAGGTTAGGCTGTTTTTTGTTTGTTTTTGAAGTGCAGCTATTCAGAAAAGGCCTTGCAATGAAAAACCCAGTTACTACACAGATAAAAAGCTTTGTAAGGAATGAATAAATATAATTTTCTGCGAAGGCCACTCACCAGAGCCCTTTTCTTCACATACTTACCTTCTCACCTGCAGTATATTTAAAGGCCTACTGCAGATACAGGAAATAGTGAGGGATATCCTACAGGCAAAAAAATACTTAGAAATACAGAGAGATTGAGTTACAGACAGAGCGTGAGATTTAACAAGTCCCATTTAAATAGTCTGCAGAAGATGCATTGCCCCTGAAGCCTCAATCACAACAGCCCCTCTGAAAGAAGGAACTGCAGTGTACAACCAGGTTTCCTTCAAGCTATAGGTGCAAGATTCTTTTACTTAAAGAGTTATTTCCTGCAAACAAGCCAGATTTAAGCCAATTCATGGATCAATCAGCCTAACCACACTGATCCTTCCTCTTCCCTCAGAATCCAAAAGATAATATTTGGTGAACTGGTTATAATTATGAGCAAGAACACTGGGATGATTTTCAAATTAGACATCTGGAAAAGGGGCTGTGTTTAAAATACATTTCCATTGCATAATTTTTTTTTTTTTTTTTTTAAAACACTTTTATAATTGTTTTTAGCCTGGTTATGAAGCAGGAAATATTTTAGTGACAATGTGCAAGATATTTGCAAGAGGGTATCTCTAATAAAACTTTGAGAAAGCAGGTATAGGGCTTGAGCAATACTAGCTTGCTGCATGTTAATAAATTGTAGTGTTGAGATTGAATGAAAAAAGAGCACTTTGCTCTATGATTAGTCTGCACTGTATTCAGCAGACTGTTGGAACAGAGCTGATAAAACCAGTTCTTTAAGATGATCTAAAATGTGTCTCAATCTCAAATTAGCTCATAAATGAAATAGGGGGCTTTACAATGTCACAAGTGACAATCCAACAGATTCTGATATGTGACCAAAAGTGCTAAGCTATAACATCAGAAGTACTGTACAATAGTTACAAAGGATAAACTTGTTACCAAAACCCTTTGTATACATCTAGTACACAAATGGGCCACTCATTTTCCAATTTAATTCCATTTTACTCCCTAGTATGAAGCTGATAAAGTGGTTTTATCAACAGAGTTCAACCAAAACCTCAGGGGCAAGGTAATAAATCAATATACCAAAGATTATATCCGTATGAGAAGCAAACACAATCCTATAAAAACCATTAATCCTGCAAAACAAGGCCCATGATTCAGGAGCAAGACCTGCACTTTTGGGGCTCAGACAACATACATGAAGTGTACTTTATTTTACTAGAAGGGTCAAGTTTCCAAGTAGATTGACTGGGCTTGCCAGCCTCCAAAACAATAAAAGCTTACCTATCACACTCTTGGCAAAGGAAGCTCGTTTCAAGGTAGCCAGACCCAGGTCTCCTATCTTGACTGATCCAGTGGGGCCGGTGATGAAGATGTTGTCACATTTTAGGTCTCTGTGGATAATAGGGGGCGTGCGAGTGTGCAGGAACTGCAAGCCCTTTAGTATCTGACGGCACCAGCTTCTTAGTACTTTAATTTTCATCACTTTAAACCTTTTCAAATACCTGAGGGGGGAAAAAAGATGCAAAGTAAGATCATGCATGTTTCAGAAGTCATTAGGCTTTGGCAACTAAATTATATGTATAGATTAGTGTGGATCTACTTTTCTGGCAGGTGCACTACAAATTAGCCCCTAACCCTCTGAGTGCCACTGATTCCTTTCCCCTCAATTTTCTGCTTTTTCTGCTTCCTGCCTGATCTGATGCTCTCCTCTGCCCTGTTACCATGCTGCCAGTCCCTTCCCTGATCTGTGTGCCACACATAGGAGCTATACATACCACTTGCAGCACCCAAGCTGCAGGCTGGCCAGCTCTAGTATAGACCATCAGACCTGTAATATCAATTGACTAACATTTCCTTACAGCCCATTTATTACATCTGAGAGACCAAGTCCTACTCCATGCTTCTGTTCCACTACAGTGTATCAGTCTCCAGAGGGGGAAGTGGTGGCAGTGTCATAGCTCTATGTACACCATGAGAAGAAGCAGTGATTTTTTAAATATGCACAAGTCAAAAGAAAGCAACTCTCTCAAGCCCTCTTCATAGAGAGAGAAAAAAAGAGAAAAAAGTAGACTAAGATAGGTATGACTCAAAGTTTTATGCTGTTTTTGGACTACTGTCCTGTTCTGGTCTTGCCGGCCAACACCAGGCTAATCAACTGCCTGCAGTTCTTAAAAAAAAAAAAAAGGTAAAAAAATACTGATTAAAACAAAATTAAAAAGCCTCCACTTCATGTCGTGCTTGATCTACTTGTATGGTACAAGCTTGGATATGACTTTAAAACAAGCTGGCCCCAAGGCATCTTAATAGTCCTGAAAGCCAGGCTGGCATATGTATTTACTGTTACCTAGGATAAACTGTTCATTAGTTATGGGAAGAAATGGAATACCAACTCTAAAGTTCTCAGCAATTCATTATAACATAGCTTTATGCAGACCTGAAAGTGAGACTTGCTTTGTTACAAATTGTTCTTAATTCTAAAGAACTTCCTCTACAATTACCAATTCAAAACCTGTCATCTTCCATAATGTCCTACATTCTCATTTAACAGTCATCTTTCATCTTTAAGCACTGAAGGAGATTACATTCTTTATCTTATATGCAATATCTTTTCCTGTATGCAAAGAAAAAAGTTAGAAAATATCAATTATTTTGAAAAGAGTATTGTGGCATAGTGCAATGATGACAGCTGCAAAGCCAAAATAACAACCACTCCAATACTCAAATTCATCCAAGCAGCTCAGCCAGGGATGCAAGGTTTAATTCAAGATTCTCTATTTTAGTCATTAAAGTTTTTAAAGCAAATAGAACCTCTCAGTGATCACTTGATAACTGCAAGCCAGGGTTCGATCACCTGAACTCAAGAAGATACCATAGGCACTCATTATACCAAGTGTGGAAAACGGAGAAGTAAGAGGCCTCTATCCCTACAAAAGCACTTGTGTAGAGGAGCCAGGTAAGCCAATGCCACATCACGTGCTGAATCAGCAAGCCTGATGTCAATAATTCTCTTTCTGCCTCATTGCTATTTGAAATTTATGGTCAGAAAAAAAGTCCAAAATACAAGATTCAGAGATGAAACCTTTTTCTATGCTTGTCAGTGGGCTGGCTCTCTGATACAACTAAGAGCACTAGCACAGTGCCCACTTCTACTCTACCAAACACAGATTCTTCTGGGAGGGGGGTATGGAAGGAAGGGACAGATCAAGGCCCCCATAGTGAGGGAGGGGAGTGGGGCAGGGGCAGAGGCTGCCCAGCCAGGGCAATGAATAGGACCCCAGAGGTGGGAACAGGACAGCCATGGGGGCGTGAGGGGAGGCGCAGCTTCCTGCCATTGCACACACCCTCAGGGGAGCCCCAGGGGCATGTAAACCCTCCCCCCCCCAAAAAAAGTGAGTGTGAGTGTGAGTGTGTGAAGGGTGAGGGCAGACTACCTGCTGCAGACTCAAAGCCAGGGGCTGCACCAGCCTCTTCCCAATGGGGAAGGCTGGGCTGAGCTGGGGCTGCACTCAGAGCAGGCAGGGGCAGGGCGAGCAATGGCAGTGCTGGAAGGGGTGACTATAGGGAATTCTGGGGTGACTATATACCCCCAAACCCTCCCCTAGCACCACTCATGCTCTGGGCACTCTGCTCTGCTGCCTTTCCCTCTGGAGCCCTATGCTCCCCCACATCCCTCCCCCACCAACAGATGTACCAGCAGGACACTGCTCTCCAAGCTGTCACGCTGCATTCCTGGCCATGTGCATGCTGCAGCTGCGCACATGCACACAGCATTTATTGGCGACATTAAATCGGGCAAAAAACGCCGAGTGCCAATAAACGTTAAGTTTTCCTGTTATCAGTGCTGATCCAATATGCATCCAATATAAATTGGTGCATCTCTACTTTCTAGTAGCACAATAAGCATCACCTAGCCTTTGTTATGCATTTGCTTGGTCTCCCATCCTCTCTCCAAGATGGCAGCGGAAGGTTTTGGTTTAGCTTTTTTTAAATCTACATGCTGTTAAGGGTGTATACTGGATAAAGTAATATTGAGATGTGCTTTACACATGTGGAGGAAGGTTGCATAGAACCTACAGGAGAGGTGTCAAACCCTGTAACCAGCTTAGAGTATTAGTATTATTTATTACTCCTACCCTGGGTGGAGAGTACCATCTCATGCAAAAGATATGTAAATTGGTTTCTGCCTATCCACTTTGTGAGGAGCCAGTCTTTACAAAATTATCTGGGCCAGTGCCCAGCATAAGCTCAGATTTTAAATCCCCCATTTCTTTGAACCAGAAAAATCATAGTAAGGTCTTTAAAAAAAAAAAAATGCTGCTAGCAATAATCCTGTGGTCAAAACAATTCTGCAAAAATAAATCAGGAGCCAGTTACAGCAACGGAGCAAAAACTTGAAGGAAAATAAGGACAAAAGTGAGTGAAAGCAAGTCCAGGAAGGAGACGGAACAAAAAAGGCTCTGGTTCACGTCAGCTACCACTCATTTTTTGGCTTCAATGCCACTTGATATTTGCTACTGACACAACACACTTTCATCTCTCACGCCTGTTTTAAGGGTCACATGGTGGAGGCACTTGAGTTCTCCATTTGGAATCTCCAATTACATTCTTGGTTCTCAAATATGCTGGTATACTGCCAGCTCTTCACTCCTTAAGGACCTGGGCCCAGACTATCATCCTGCATCCCTGTGGCAGTGCTATAATTTTTCCAAAACAAAGTTATGAGTTAGTAGTCACGTCACTCTTAAAGCTCACACTAACATTTAAAAAGGAACCCAACAGCAAGTTATTCTAAACATCCCATTACAATGCAGAGCTGGCAACTATAAACTCTTTCAGAAATAACCATGAAGCAGAAAGCTGCTACCCTGACAGTAAATGATGTAGTCTTAGACAACCATAAATGCAGCACAATCAGAATAGGAAGTCAGATTTCCAAACTATGCATACCTAAGACATCCTTACCCTGAATTCTTCAGGAGGGGGAATTGGCTTGATCCTCTTATGTACAAGAAGGACCTAAGAGTCCTCTCATCCCCTTCCCCTAACCTTGCTCATGTTTTAAATTAGCAATTCAATTCCACTCTAATAATCATTAGTGGTCATGAACTATTACTAGAGTGAAAGTTGAACGGCTAAAGAAAGGAAAAGAATTTTGACCCACTGTTTAGAAGTGAGTATTGACAACATCTTGGAGAGGTCATATTGGAAAAAGAATGGGCACCCTCTCCTTTAGTTAAGTTTTGAGAGCCAATACTATAGAGTTCGCCCCTGCTTCCCTCCCCAACCCCATACGTGCACACACCCTGAAAAGCATCACAAGATCCTTCAAGTTATAAACTACCACAAAAATCTATAATTGATCTTTTCATGGCATACAGCAGCAAAACATGCACACACAAAACCCTAACTAAAAAACCCACAATTTAATTCATTTGCTAGTTAAGGCAAATTGTTTTTCACTAAAACTGAATATGTACTATGGGATTTTCCCCATTCATTGTTCAGCTGTATACGTCTCAATGTGAATCTCAGCAGAAATGGAGTTTACTCTCCCCAAAGTAGTAAGACCACCTCAAACTAACAGAGAAAGTGCAGAATTACTATTTTTTAAAACAATTTTTGGAATATGCCTTGAAAATGGTGAAGACTGATTATTGTAGCTTTCTTTGAAGAGGAGAGAACAAGTGCTGCAACAGCTCCAGCTTACAGCTCAGGAAGGTATTTGCTTTAAGTCATGTTAAGAAAGCGTCCTCTACTGGCAGTAGTACCTTAAAGCCAAAAACTCTACTTAAGCTTTCTACATTTTTGCATTTTTCCATCTCTCAGTAAACAACAGATTCTTCGCGCTCTATTGTGCACAAGCATAAGACTGTAAAACTGATGAATACTTGCAATGTTTGCCATTAAACTTCCATTTCGTTTCAGAGATTTATAGAACTTTGTTTGCAAAACAAAAAAAACCCAACAAGTCTGACTAAACTATGCCTTTTAAATGCTGCCAAAAATTACTCTGATACATATTAAGATTCAGGTGGGCAGGTTGCTTAGCAGAATGAGTGCTTAACAGAAGTAGCAAAATATAATTTACAACAGGGGTTTTCAACCTTTTTAACAAGTGCACCCCTTCTGTCTAAGTTTCAGCTCACGTACCCCTTTATATTAAAATTATTTGGGGGGGCTTAGCATGCACAGTGTGCACACGTCCCACCCCTCAGCAAGTAAATGTGGGGGAGGGGAAATGGCCATGAGGGGGTGGGCAGATCGAGGCCCCTGTAGTGAGGGAGTGGGTCACAGGCAGCAGCTGGAGTGAGTGGGGCTCCAGCCGGACTAGGTCATGGGACAAAAATCAGAGCCTAGGCAGCTTGTCCAAGGGTGCAGGGGGGCTCCTGCTGCTGTGCGCACTATGGCAGAGGCGCAAGGGGACACGTGCCTCCCCAGTCTTCGTGTGGGGTGGAGACAGCTGCTGCTGTGCACTGGGCTTTGTGTGCCACTGCAGCTGCCCTGGCAGTGGTGCAGCGCCATATGCCTGCCACCACCAGGCGGTGCTGCACCCCCTGCCCACCCAGTGGCGGGATGCACATGGCATTGCACCGCTCCTGGGGCAGCTGCAGCAGTGCACAAAGCTTGGCGCAGTGGCAACTGCCTCCACCAAGTGCACAGATCAGGGGAGCACATGCCCTCTGGGCCTCTGCCAGGGTGTGTCCAGCAGCAGGAGCCCTCCTGTACTCCCTATGACCTTTTTCAAGTACTCTTAGGGGTACGTGTACTCCCAGTTGACAATCACTGATCTACAAGATTTCAGTATAAAGTTGCTGTTGTCTACCTGATAGTTGCTTGGTATGAAAAGTTGTGAGAACCTGAATACTCTCCTCTAATAAAAGGAGACTTTCCCATACTCAGAGGAAATGTACTGAAAAGGATAAAGTTCTGTAGTGGGTTTCATATGTGGGAGGCATTGAAAACACTACACCCATAGGTGGCAGCACAAAACTGTAAGATCTTTAAGCCTCCCTCAGAGACAAAGGTTTAGAAAAATACAGCTAAGGATGAGCAAGATTAGATGGAGGACTGTCAAGTAGCCAATTATAAATAAAAAGTTTCCTTAAATAAAAGCTACTGAAGCTATCAATCTGCATCATCACCACTAAGTAATTAATTCAATAAAGTCTCAAGACTTTAAGGCTGTATTTGAATTAAATAAGGATTGACTAAGTCTTTCCATTAGACAACGGATAAATTATTCTCAAATACAATTTAAAAAAAAGTCACTGTGCTTGCTTTCCTTAGACCTGAAGAAAAATGCTTTGAATTTTAAAGCTCGTCTAACTAACTCAATTACACAGTTGGTCCAATAAAGGAATTCGCCCAAAAAATTCTGCTTCTAGAAAATACAATAGTGAGACCAAGATTTTATCTGAGGGTTTTCAAGCAGTTTCAAACAGTTCTTCAAAAGCCAGAGACCTCCAGGTTAAACCGTTATACTTTAAAAGCCAGTAATTAGTAGTACATGCATTTTTCATATTTCTGGGTATGCTAAAATACACTGCTTATTAAATTTCCAGGAAAGCAGACAGTATATTTAGAGAGACCTGGAAGAGGTGCACAAAATACTGAAGGATATTAAAATGACAGTCAGACATGCCTCGGGAACAAAAGAATATTCAATGACATTTCAAGGCAACAAGTAGATGAAAGGGAAATATTGTATCCATGATAGGCAAACTGTGGTCTCAGATAAACAAAAAACCCAATCAGAAGCCTTTGGAACTTCTAATTAAGTTGTATACAATTCTTAGTGATAGAAGTTAAAATATACCTTCATATTTCAAAAAGCACAAAGTGACCTGTAGTAAAGAGTTACAAGGAAAATACCTTCCCGCACACAGGTTTTCCAAACGGGGTTTGCTACAGAGTTTCTTAGATTATGCCCCTCTGAAGATTCTGGTACTGGACACTGTCATATGGAGTAAAGACCGGAGGTAATCTGATGTGCAATTCCCGTAGTTTTGACCCAAATGGAATGACCTAGGTAACATTCATATAAAAGCATGCACACAGTTCCTTCAGCATATTTAATTTCTCTACGTCTCTCTGTTTTCCCTTCCTTCTGAAAGTGGCAAGCACTTATCTACAGGAGCATGGAAATCTTGTTCATACCACTACATTTTAGCTTGAATTCAGGCATCTAAATTACTTAAGACTCAAATTATCTAGTCCTAGGACTTGATTTAAATCCTAAAAGCAACAAACCAATGCCTTGTGTGCTATATTCTCTCTGATTAAGTTAAACACTGCTCATCTTTGACACACAAAACTCTAGTTAAACTATTTCATCTGTCTGGCTTCTGGACTTATTTCCAGCTCCCACCAGCTACATATTTATTTGGTAAAATGCAATGCCCAGACTTGAATTAATTTCTTCTTTAAATCAGCCTCTTGCCCAGAAATACTAACTGAAGTATTTCTAGTCATAACTAGATCTTTATTGACCACATTTCAGCTCCTGGCTATGCATCAGGAGGCTGCAAAGTACTGGACTCTAGTGCAATTCAATTCATTCCAGGTGTTACTCACCACTAGAGGGCTCTCCTGGTTGACTTCCTTGGGCCAACTTCAGTTTGCATTTGATTCTATTTCACTTCGCTAAATGACAGTCTGGAATTCTAGACACTTGCTTACTTTCAGTAATGCCGTCATGTCCTCCATTTTTAGCTCTTCGTACTACTTCAGTTGAAGTGAGAAGCTCTTCATGCAAGTACTCTTCCCTGTACGTATTTTTTTTTTTTTTTACATATAAAATACAAATAAATACATACAAGGAATAGAGCTCGCTTGAAGAGCTTCTCACTTCAACTGAAGCAGTACGAAGAGCTAAAAATGGAGGACACAAAGGCATTACTGAAAGTAAAGCAAGTGTCTAGAATTATATATATAAAAATGGTGGCACCACAAAGCCCCCAGTCAAGGATCAGGACCAGAATATACTAGGCACTGTACAAAACACCTTCCTATCTAGTGCCCTAGATATTAGGGCTGTGTGAAGCTTCAGTTGTTGATTTGATTTGGCAGAGATTCGGTGGCCAAATCTCCGAATCCAAATTAAATCAGGAGACCCTTTAATCTCTCCAAATTGAATCAGAACCCTCCAAATTGATTCGGAAAGATTTGACAGTAGACACAGCTTTAAATGTTTTTTCTACATACATCAAGGTACCAGGCACCTCATGAATGCCGAGATGGTGGAGCAGATGGAGCATCCCACAGGAGCATGGTGGGGTCCCCAGTGTGCTCGGCAGCAGGCCTGGAAGTAGATCAAAAGTTCTTTTGGTCCACTTCCAGGTCTGCTGGGGAGCACACTGGCCCCTTCCCCCCCCCCCCAGCTCAGCAACCGGTGCCTCCCAAGTCTAGGGTGCACCTGGAGTTCCCCCACAGCTGTTTGCCAAGCCAGGAGGAGGTGCAGGGGGGCCCCCCCAGTATACTTGGCAGTGGACCCAGAAGTACTTCTGGTCCACTTTCAGGTTCGCCCCCAAGCACATAGGGGGCATCCCCGCACTCCATCCACCCCACCATCGCAGCATTCACGAGCAACACCTGGTACCTTAAAGTATGAAGAAAAAACATTTAAAAAGTCATGGCTATGGACGAATCACTGATTCTCCAAATCAGCATCAAATCTTCAGAATTGGATTCAGTGTAATTGGAAAAAATCCGGGACAGTGATCTGAATCAATGAATCAAATCACTGTCCCAGATTCAGGCCAAATCCGAATCGAATATAGCCCATTTCGCACACCCCTACTAGACATGTTATTTTTGGAGTGCTACAAAAGTTTGTGGTAGAGAGATCATTATGGGGTGTGCACACATGCATAGCCCACTACCTGAATTAAAGGTACGTTCCCAGCCAAGGAATAAATAGGGGGGCTCCTCCTCAGCTCCCTACTCCTATGAGGGAGCTTGTTAGCTAGCAAGACAGGCTTATCCTATCAGCTGTTGGCACTGTAGCAACAGCTGATGGGGCTGCCCACAAGCTACCCATGGGAGCAAGGGTCAGTTGGGTAGTCTCCACCAGTGGAGATAGTTAAAGCACCAGCAGCACTGCAGTTTAAAAATGTTGCTGCAGCTTTCATGTGGGATACTGAGGGTTGGAGACCTGTCCACACATTAAATCCATCACAAGAAGATTTTTCCATAACAACTTTATTATTCAAAATAGCAACTTATTGCAAGTCTGTCAATTTGAAAGGCAGAGGGAGGAGAGAAATCAGCCTTTTATTTATTAATTTATTTTTAGTGGGACAAGCAGCATTGATATGTGAACAGTTGCTGTTTAGCGAGACAAAAAGCAACAAAACTAACATCTAGGATTTAAGTGCAAGACCGAAGCAAGAAAAGATTTAAAACAGAACAAGCACAGTGCTCTTACCCTTGAAATTTAAAAGGTTTTTCTGCATTTGCTTCATAGGAAGTGATTGATGATGATTTGTCAAACTCACTTCCTTAAAGGCTGTCCCACTGCTCTTTTTTGGTGCCAAAGGCATACTGCCTGATCACTTTTACTGTAAAAGCTTTATTTCCCCTTCACTTCCAGCAACAGGATTCTTTGGCAAGGCTACAGTAACAAGTTACCATGAGGGAAGAAGAGTGACTTTACAGCACATCAGCTACATAGTGAACTGATAACTGCCTGTGTGCGCTTTACCCACAAGTAGGCACAAGGTAACTCGCTCCTCAGTGAAAGTGAGACACAAACTACCTCCCACTTATGAGGCAATTGTGCCCATGTACAGGCACAATAAGTTTCCTCCCTGTTTATCTTGTGGTAAAATTAGTCTTAAGCCATATCCTCAATATGGCAAGCAGTTTCCATTTCATTTCGATACTTTGATGTTATGCTAAGCATCATCACACACCTCACGAGTCTGAGCTCACTTACGTTTTCAGGGTTCCAGATGTCATGAGTTCTGTCACAAGAACAATACATTTCTTTCCCTTCACTGTAGACTCCCAGGAATCATAGAACCGAACAATATTAGGGTGCTGGAGCCCTTTCAGCATCCCAGCTTCCTCTTTAAACCTCTGCCGCTCCGATTTGGACAGCTTCCGGTCCTAGCAAAGAAAAGGAAAAAAAAGTTACACACATTAAAAACTACAAGAAAGTAACTAGCTAACAGAAGAGGAAGGCCACATGCCAAAAATATTAAATAAAAAGTTATCAATCAGGTTATTAGAACAGAGGCAAAACGCATGTGTCCATCCATATGGATTTGCTTATTAATTTGGGAGTACCCAACCATCTTTCAAAGGCTGACTGAGCTTGGTGCTCGCCCCCGTCACTGCATGCACTATTTAAGTACAGATATATTCTATACAGTGAGGCTTTTACTGGATATTGATAGTCTACACTCTGATTATTCTATAAAGTGTCACTCTTCTTATTCACTCTCTAAAGCTATTACTCTCCCAATAAAATTGGATTTACAGCCACTGTTGCATGAGAAATAGGAATCTTAACTGCTTTAAGGCAATTGGGAATCTTCACAAAAACAAAAACAAAAAAAACCCACCCTATAAATGTCTTAGAATTCTGTTTAGTCTTGCTTATGAAAGCTTATGCCTCTTTATAGCACCTTGGAGGCCAGTTGCTTCACTCTGCTCTTCCTTCTGGCCACAGAAACAAACTCCTGACAAACTTGTACAAGGATAAGGGAATTGGGATTAGTTTCTCCTCTGCAAAAGAACACTTAATGTGTTTATTACCCAAAAATAAGACTGCTAAAAGCAGAAAAAAAGAAGAATCAGCAGACAAAAAGGATTTGCTCTCTATCACATACGGGCAGTGGCAAAAGCAGAAGCTATTTACCAGACACAGCTTATTCTATATGCTTAAGTGTTCATAGCACTCCAGCATCTATCTACTGAAGATTAGTTGTGCCAAATCTAGATTAATGGATGCCCACGTGGCTAATTTAATGTTGAAAGCAGTATACATGTTTAAAAAAAGAAAAGAACCACATACACACACCCTAACTTGGAACTATCCACATGATACAGCACTCTGGATCCCTAGAAAGGGTTAAACATACTAGTTTCAGGTTTTGCCAGTGGCTACTAGCAAGTTTTTCAGACTGATATATTAGATTGGAACTGTAGATTCCTAGCTAGCCTTGAAAACTGGTCAGTCCTTTTAAAACATTCTCTTACTTCCAATCAACTGTTTGGGTATACTGCACAAATATGAATTAAAACATTTTTCAGGAATTGATATGATAGTAGTTGGGAGACACCAAACAGAGTACTGGATTAGGAATTAGGAGAGAACTCTCTCTCTTGACTCCACCACTAATTTACTATATGACCCTGAGCAACTCACTTGGTTATGTCTTCATCTTCCTCCTCCTACCTCTGGCTTATTTTAAAGAGTATATGCTATTCGGGGCAGGATATACCCATAAAAGTGACTATTCAGTGTTCAAAGATGCCCTGGTCATGGGAGGAGGAGGGCAAACCGAAGCAAGCAACAACCTCCCCTCACCTCCCAAGACTGACTCGCCCCTCTTCCTCACAAACCTGATCTCTGCCCAAAAGGCATCCGTGTAACAGCCCTTGTGCATAGCTGTCTCGCAAAGTCAACAGACTAAAAGAATTTCCAGCAAGGTCAAATGTAGCAATAAATGTTCGTTCCAGAACTTACGGTTCTTAAATGCTACTGCAAGTTCCCTCCTTTTTACATTTAGGAAAGCCTATCATATTTTCCAGTCAATCTGCAAGCAACAGATTGCCTCCCCATCCTATCCTATGAAAGCAGAAAGGTCCCAAGCCATTTAAAGCTTTACAGATCAAACACCAATTGGCAGCCAAACCAGATCAGAACAGCAGGATCTCATGCTGCTACTAGACAATGCCCGCTGCATTCTGCCCTAGTTCGAATTTCCAAGTTGCCTGAAGCACAGCCCAACATTAAGCACACTTCAGTCAGCTCCACCCAGAGGTAGACAAAGCAAGGTCTGTATTTGAAAAGTAGTAGCATCTCTCTGGCTAGGAGATTTGTTAAAAATGTGTTCCTGGACACTACTGGTATATCATCTGACAGCAGCTGGGGATCTAATATAATCCAGATTGAACACTTGTTACTAGTGTCAGCAGCACATCCTTGGGGGTAGAAGGGGAAGAGAGAAATAGCTTCAGTATATTAATGAGTTGCTTCTGTCATCCTACAACTACCTCACTCATCAGCATCACGCATAGTTCTGATCAACACCAAACAGGTTAAGAGAAGAGAAATTTTTCAGAAACGAAGTGTTTTTATAGTGTGAACAGACTATTAGTTATTAAAACAATTTCTCACAAGCTCTCTCTCACCATGTGAAAGCTAAGTTTAGCTAACTTAAATTGCAGGTTTTATTTTTAACTAGAATAGGTAGTATTCATAAATCCTGTATCTTTATACTGTCAAAAAATCCCCACCATCTGCGAGGGCAATAATTCCTCCTTTTTTGTTTCTAGAAAGTCTGTTTTCTCAATACTACTCAGCCATACTAATCTCTCTACATGAGGGGTATCAAACTCACCCAACACTGCAGGGCAGATGAGGCGCACAAAGCTGGTCTGCGCATTAGATCAGGCCCAAAGAGCAGCCCTGCATGCCCGATCCAATATGCGCTCTGGACCAGCCCTGTGCACTGCATGCAGCACGTGCACTTGTTTTGGCTCCAGGCACCATATGCAGCATGCTATCTGCAATGCACAGCCTGGCCCTGCATACTGTATCTGGTACACAGAGCTGGTCTGTGGACCCAAGACCTCAGATCCAACACGTAGGGCCAGTCTAGCACAGCTGCTGCATGCAGCATGTGGGGCTGATCTGAGACCCAGAAGCAGCATCATGGGCTGAGTGACAGGGCTCCGTAGGCACTCCTGCTCTAAACCATCTTCTATTCATTTAGATCTTTAATTGGTTTCAAGAAGTCCATGCATCAGCCTCAGATTTTGGAAGATTTTGAACTATTCCCAGATGGAACACTAATTTAAAAACCACAAGGACTGTTCCTGGTAAAAACTGAAGTTCAATCCATTTGTAAAAGTAACTAGTACTAAGTACTGGAGTTGTGCATGCAGTTCAAAACTGACTACTTAGCAAACATCTCTCCATAACCTAGTTTAAGGAAAGCATTCAAGATTTTTTCAGATACTGCACGTGGTTTTTAATCCTGGTCTCATCATCTACCAAGAAATGAAGTGCTAAAATTTAAGCCATAAAAAAGGTAGCTTGTCATTTTACTATCATTTATCTTTTGCTAACTTGCATAAATCTGCTAACGTTCAATATGGCCAAGAATGACTGCATGGCACTTCCAGTTTCGCTCCAGAAGTATAAAAGCAGCAAACATGTTTTAGGCACTTGCATCAGCTTTTGAGTTGAATGTTAATTTGATCTTGCAGTCTGAACTGTCTTAGGAGGCTTAAAAGGACTTCCCTATGTTCTTTGCAACTCCAACCAGGGCTCTACTGGAGTTTTGCAAGCACAGTTGTCAGCTAAGGATATCATCTTCTCATACCCAGGGGTGGTCAACCTGTAGCACCCAGCAGGAGAGAAGAGGACCAGCAAATGGGTCAGAAAGCAGATCAGCAGAGCTGGGGAGGGGAAAGGGGATTAGAAAGTCACTTGAGGAGGGTGTGGGGCCAATTTGTAGCAAGCCTGACAAAAAAAGTTAGCCCCCACTGCTATAACCAGTGCAGCTATGCTGACACCCCTTCTTTCCCCCTACCCCCATAGCTCTAGTTACATAGACAGAAGAGGGCTTTGTCATTTGGGGAGGTAGCCCAACTACAGTAGCAGGAAAACAACAAGCCAAAAAACGCACAAACAAAAAAAGAAAGTCTCGACCACAAATCAGCGCACACAGCCTTTGGTGAGGAGCTCTGCAACACAAAAGAATTATGAAGAGTAGTCTTAAGGCTAAGAAGGTTGACAACCACTAGTCTTAACCAATGTGTGCCTTGCCTACATACATAGCCAAGTAGTTAAATCCATTTTAGGAAGCCAAAAAAAAATCTAGAAGCATCCAATAGCCTGTATATTTTTAGTTTTCCACAAAACAGAAAGCATTGTTCTTCCTGAATTGATAACTGCTCCCAAGGACTTGAGTGTCCTATCCCAGTCACAGGGCTGTGCTTTTAGAACAAACTGAAACAGATGCATCAAACCCACTCTGTTCATTTCATTCATTCCTTTCCACCTACATTAAATTGTTTTGACAAGCCAGAACAACAAAAAGCAAGGCTACCCAGCACGTGACCTGGACTTCTGCAGTGCCAGGGGCCTGGAACAGAAACAGGCAGCAATTGAAACAATTGTTCAGCTCAGTACCATTCAATTTTCTTCTTGGCAGATTCTGTCTATCTATATATTTACCATTGTAATTTCTTCAGCTAAGGCAGCTGTTTGCATCAGAACTGCTGTACCTTGGGAAAACATTTGAAAGATCCACCTTGGGTGCCTTTAACCCAGGCACAACCTCACTATTCGCTCTTCTTTTTCTTACTTTGCTTGCCCATGTAAGTTGTATGCAACCACCATCACCCCACACCTTTCCAAATAGCGGCGGGACCTTACATAAAGGCACTGCTATGGATAAGCTACTGCACCAAGATCCATAAATATGCCTACTGACACGACAGCACATGTGCTCTCATCCAGGAAGCACTTAGTCAAGTGTGTTCCATTTCCCTATTTTTAGGAAGTCAATACATAGACTCCTGAATTAAAGTTTTCAATCCCTATTAAGCTACTCTTATGTACAATGATACACTAAGGAAAAACTGACACTGAATTTTTCAGCTTTTGGCACAGAAAGTGCTGCTAACCTTTTATGTTCTACCTCAGGGGTTTTCAACCTTTTTTTAACAAGTGTACTCCTGGTGGCCAGACGCAGAGTGGGGGTGGGGGTGGGGTGTGGTGGCACGTAGCCAGATGCAGAGCAGCAGCAGCATGGGGTGGTGGAGGGTGGCGGCAGGAGCACCTGCCATCACATGCAAGCCCCCCCCCCCCCCTCCCCCCAATGCATTTGGCCAGCTGGGTAGCGCCCGCGCAGCCCACAAACAGGAGC